TGCATCTGCGCCTCCTGCTGATCGGGCCCGAGACCGCCCATACCGCTTCCAGCACCCATACCGCTGCCTGGCGAACTCAAATGACCGCCTCCCATTCCCATCGGACCTCCTCTGCCGCCTCCACGACCTCCTCTGAAGCCTCCCCGAATTGCCCCTCGACCACTAATACCTCTACCAGCACCCCGGCCCATTCCACCTAGTCCACCTAAACTGCCGCCGCTGCCGACACTCGGCCCGCCATTTTCATCGTCCCTCCGCTACAAAACCGAGCACCAACAGAAACCAGACACCGCAAAAAAACGAAGCAATGAATCACACGAAAACAGGTATTTTCTTATGTTTTGTTCTCTGGCACCCTGTCAAATGCATTATATACCTCAATAAGCAATAATGAGAGACCTATTACAATAATTATAATGGAATGAGATCAGCGTCTGCACCGTAAACTGTTTACCAAGTAATAAATAATTCCTGAAAAACGACTCCATTTGGGTGATTTCGAACACTTCAACAAGCTAAAGAAACAAAAGTGTTTATCGCTCGGCTTTCGTGTAATATTGTAGGTAGTACTGATCAAATTCTATCAGCAAAATTAAAATTCACCCAACTATAGAACGGATGTGAATTAGGTATGGCACGTGAATCGGCGCTGAGATCATGCCATTGGTCCGGTATGGATTAACTTACAAGAACTGAGGAGATGAGGTCCGAGATGTGGTTGCAGGCGAGAACAACCTGCTGTTGGTGTCCGGTGATCATGCAAATCCGGTCAGGTTGACTTTCATCCACCGGGGTCTGGAACTGCACGCGCGCGCCGGTCTCTAGCTGTATGCGTTTTATCGTGTCACCCTGCTTACCAATGACTACGCCGACAGCTTGCCGGGGCACAATTAGTTGCTCCTGTAGCATGCCAGGTTCGCCGGGCACTGGAGTGAGTCCGCCGGGGCCTCCCATTTGACTTCCAGGGAAGCCGCTGCCTCCTCGCTCCAGATGCCCACCGCTACATCCGCCACCAGGGCCTCCGTTCTGTGGGGCTGAGCCGTTGATGAGGTCAAGAACGAGTTTCTTCGCAAATTCAACCTTCGCTGGCTCGCCCGTGATGCGGATCGGCTTATCCATATGCGGTGGCATTGAGGATTCCTGAACCACGACCATCTTCACGCCCGCGCGGTCCTGCAGCCCACGGATGGTCTCACCTCCGCGCCCAATCACCAAACCGGCTTTGTGCCCTGGACAAGGGACGTCGAGAGTAATATCTCCCTGGTTTCCGCCCCCGCCACCATTCATTGCGCCTAGGCATTACACAGAGAACAGTCGAACATATGTTAGATAGGGCTATACTGCCCTATAAAATGCTGCACATTGGAAAATTACTAAAAGTAAAGTCTCACAGCATCGAACTTGAACAGGAGATCAGGAAGATACCCACATTGCTAGAACAGAGCTTTCATTTTGGTAGGAAAAGTTATGAGTCGACGGCCAATTATCTATTTGATCTTTCAATCATAGCTTTTCTTAGTTTTCTACGTCAATGAGAATCGAATATGATTCGATCTCATATGTATATACATATATACTCAATCGAATATGATCGAGCCTTAAAATAGTCGCTCACCCTTATGCAAGGCTTCTTGTCCTCGGGTGATAAGCGCAGAGATGAGTTCTTTAGCCTTCTCAACCGCTTGCTTACTCCCGGTCAATGTACAGGGTCGCTCCGAAGTTCCGTTTGATTCCGACGAGAGTTGAACCTTGCACTGACTCTCTTGCTGAAGCTTCATGATTTGTTTGCCATCACGACCTGAAGAAATTGCAAAAAAGTAAATCAAATAGATGTTACCACGAACAACCCGTGTGTATTAGTTTTTAATCTACGGTTAAGGTTAGTTTCAAGCTTCATATTTTTTATTTTTAATTTTGTCTAACATTATGAGGTATATTAATTGTAAGAACAAGTCCTCGGAATTATCTCTGCGGTGCATTACACACTGCAAGTGCTATGGTAATGTATTACTATAGGCAGAAGGCAACAAAAAGCGTGCACTCCTGTTAGAAGAGACCTGCATACCCACCTTTGCCCCTATACAGGTAAGTCTATCCGATTATCAGATTAAAGGCTGGTCATGTATTTAAGCAAAGTCAAGTTCCCCGTTCAAAAATCTGCATTGAACCTCAAGGCGAAGAATAAGCGTTTAAAATTTTAAAGCTCGCCTTTCTTATCGTCTTCGGAAATCCAAATTTTCTCATTTGCCAAAAGCGATATTAGCACATTATGTACAAACGTTTACTATATATTAAATCACTCATATAAGTGAGTGAGCTGTAAGCTTGGAGCGTTGCCAAAACATCAAAGTTCCATTATATAATACGCGATTAAAACTTTTACTAACAACCATCTTTCAAGTATATTGTTCTTGCATTGCATATTCCTGATATCAGTTTCGTTCTGCCAGCTGAATTTAAATATTCTGTAGTTTTTCGTCTGCACGATGGTATACCACTGGATACCTTTAGAAGATAGCATGTGACGCATGCGATACTTCGCTGGAATTGCTAGTCGCGTTGTCGATTGCAGAATGCGAACAGAAAAGTCGCTGCGCAGGAGTACGTAGATTTAGTGAGCCGCAAACCGGTAGACACCAAATGGGTAATTGCTTCGAGGGACAAACGGGCAAATAAACCACGACGCACTAATGATAAATCTCAATTAAGTTTCACTAACTGAATGTCGTTTGGTAGTAGTCAATGAGCAATCAGATATGTTTCCGCTGCCTTCTCAACAAATAGGGTGACAGTAACCTTCTAATACATGATTTTTCTAAATGGCTCTTTATCTAGTTCCACTGACTAGGCCCATCTAAGCTCAGACTAAAATACAGGTCTGTGGTCATGCCTCAGGTCGGTTGCCACTACTATTCACTGAATTTCTGTGGAACCATATGACGAACTATCAAATTAGAGGCTATTTGAACCATGCACTATGTTAATCGAGGTGAAATTAGTCAAATAATTATTGGCACTTGTTTTAAATCAACATACGACGAATGGGGGCTAAACTGAAATGTGTGCCTTTACAGATTACCACTGTATGCACCTCGTTTATTGGTGCTTATACCAAATTTTAGTAGCTTGTTGTGCTTTACAGCTTATGCTATTTTTGTCACATCTATAACGATAGTCTGAGGGTAACGACAAAAAATTTTGTCTTCCCCGTTGTTTTAAATCTGCAGTTTTTTATACATTTCTATAGCGTAACATTTTTCAACAAACAACACTTGAAATAATTTTCTAGAAATGGACACGGTAACGCAAGTATTTTTTGCCTCGGAAGCTAATTAATAAAGGGCTTCATTAAAGCCTTTATATTAAACGCATCTACTTGTGCTTGACATCTCCAAATATGCTGCCTTTGGCTTTAAACCACGATGTTCTCTTGTACCCTTTACACTAGTATCGATCCCCAGAGTACGATTCCTCCTAAATATACCCCGGCTAGCATTTATTTTCAGACCCCATGCCAAATAAAATTACTCTGCAGGTAGGGACAGGTTTTGGGCTGGCTAGCGAACGAAAACGATAAAACAGAAAAAAGTATAAGGGGCATATTACTTCGTACTGCACACTTTTACCGGCTGATCAGTCCTTAGTCTTCCTCACCTGGGTTAAAAAATAGCGTTCCGTTACCTCCCCGCTACACCATTTCCTGGCAAGAGGGTCTTTCCTTAACGGTAACAGCAGGGTCAGAGTTGCCGAGTATCGTCAACATGCTGTTTCCACCCTAGCACATACACCCTCACCTTCTGTACAGCGGCTAACAGCATGAAATCTTGGACCATGCAGAGGGGACTGGTCCGATATACACGAGCACGCGAATCACACACTGGACAACATAGTAGAAAATCTTGAATTCAACTTTTCTTCAATTAGCAGCATCTACTTTTAAGAAGCGACACGATATATATTGCGTGCACGTTGCAGTAGTAGTTATATAACTACTACTTTGTACTTTTGCGATCGTGTATGCTGACTTGGGTGCTATTAGTTCGTTATACTACTAAGTAAGTTCGTTATACTACAAGTACAGTTTAAAGTCCCAAAAACGGATGCAAGTTTCGAGGCCTACGGCTAAAATGCCCTATGAACACGCGCGGTAAAGTAAATGAATTTTAATGAAGTATTTATGAATATAGCACATCTATTAATATGGCAAACGTCAGAGTCGAGTGGCGGTTTTCAGTAAATGAACTAAAGTAAATATTTTCTAATTAGATTACATGATTCCATTACAGCAATACTTAATCGGTGGCTTTCTCAATCTAGATTCTCAAAAACCGTACAACTCTTTCTCTTCCTAATAATCTTCATTGCCTGTTTCTAAAGTGTTACGCGCAGTAAGTCTGAATCAGTTATGCATTTTTTTGTTTTACTTATGTTCGTATTACAGACGAACATTTTAAACCAACCCGGTTTTGGCTTTTAATTTTTTGAATGACAAAATGAATTAAGACTAATTCAGTGTCTCGAACGGTACTGGTAACTAGCAAATTTTCATTAAGCCTGTTTATTTCAGGGATTATTAACTGATAATTGGTTGAACCATAAAGCCTGTTTCCCTAAATTCATGCACAGTACAATTTTGATCTCGAAGTTGTTGACAGGAAAACGTAGGCATTACGCTAGAGCATAATCCCTCGGTAAGCTTACCTAATGACTTCATACTGATAAATAAAGCACATTAAAAAAGACAGGTGAAGGCTCCACTTTAGGTCTGTGAGCAATTGAAATATACCTGGGTTTAGCTGTAGCAGTCTGCTAAAAATGTACTCAGCAAAGCACAATTTCTTGAACGGCTACTAAAAAAAGCGTGTTTAGAACTTTGATAATTGCAACCTTCATATTCTACTACGAATCTGAAAGCAGCACGCAAAGCTAGTATTACATTAAACTTGAGATATTATAGTCAACTCCGTTCTTCCGTTAGTAAATAACGTCACACGGTTTACTATGAGCAGGCCCACCGAGAATAGCCTAGTTAAACTCTACTCTCACAAGATGAAGCATCTAGTTTAACAAGAGTGTTAAGAGTTTGTGGTTTACATTGAGCGCGGCAGTTATCGAACTTCATTTAAAGGGTGCCAATAATAAAGAACGACATTTAATATTTATGGTTTCGGAAGAAGGTTGCCGATGAGTAGTATAACAGTCAATAGCGTTTCTTCTGGCGATAAAGCTACCACATTGACCTCCAAAAATTATGGCCAAAATCGAAAATATCGCTATTAAGCGACGCTTTCAATCTGCGCATTTCTCGGGTTTAAGGCCATGTACAAACGATGTTAAAGGGTCGCGTGTATTATACAAACATCAACTGCTTAAGAAAGCAGTAGATTGCGAAATTAGGCATGGTTACTCCGTTCAGCTATCAAAAACCTTGAAAGTAATCAGAGAGAGAATACAACATAAATTATACTAAAATATAATTGTCTTCCCTTGTTTACTTCAAATGTCTTCCGGGCGTACGTTTGAATTGAAGCCAGTAAAGTACCGCAAATTTACCCGACATAAATCTATTTTTAACGTTCGTTTAACTAGTTCGTTGTGTAGGCTTGATCAAATTTTTTCAAAGTCTCTGACCTAACTGGTAATGACTCTAACTGTGTTATCTACAGCTAGCTTGATGCTTCAAATGAATTGATGTAAATTTATATACGTGGTAAACTCTGGATTCGGCGGGACCAAATGACAATATTTTAAAACTGCTCTTATTTCGTTGATGACGTTGACACGCTGCCTATCCATTTCATAAGGACTTGATGAGGCCCTGCTATATCACGCTCCTTCTCTAATACTCACCTATGATAAGTCCGACCATCTTGTCAGGCACTGACCATTCTTCCGTAACAGCGTTGGGATTAGCGCCGAGTACCCCCGGCGCCGCCTGACCACCCGCCATCTTTTTCGCTTCTGGGCCGCAGCCACTAGCACCTCGCTCCTCCAGAGATCGTTTCAGTGCTACACCCTGAAATGACAAGCAATCAATGAGATGGAACATATATCGAAACACGAACAAAAAGAGAATAACGAAACGATACAAGAGGCTCCTCAGGCGTTACAACAGCCCAGACAGCTTGTACTCTCAGACTGAGATGAGTTTCACTAGAATTCCTTGGTAGCATAATGCAATGATGCTCTACATATATATATATATATATATATATATATATATATATATATATATATATATATATATATATGAACTACAATCCAGATTTGGATCGATCACTAAAGCATTCGTAGCAACACATTAAAGGAAAACATTAGAAATTCATAAGTGATGCCGGATTAGTTTTTTTAGTCGTCTAATCATTTAAATGACGAAAACCAGAACAAGCACATCAACATCATACGTATGAAAGGCAGTCCATAGCAATGGTTTTGTTTTGCAACGAAACCTTATCCATAAAAATACAGGTAAAAAATACGCTCTCGTTTAGCGGTAAAGGCTTAAAAGGCTTATATTACTTCCATTTTATCCGACATCCATTATTTTTCAAGTTTCTAGCAATTGAAACACGGCGATTTTTTGAGAAGCCCAATTCGGAGCTGATGAATGCTCTCTAATTACTAGTAACAATATTACAGAACCATGAAAAGGGAGGCACGTCTGCCTGAGCCTCTCTCACGTCAAATATTCATATCAGATGCATATTTTGGCAGACGGCCTTAGTTATGTGCAAATACACGTACATATACGTACATACTCCAGCTGGATATAACATGTTTGAATACAACCAAAATGCCGCCACAATAACGAAATAAAAACACTGCACTGCCCCAGTAATGTCACCGGTAGCAACACATCATATTATAGCAACAATGAACCCAGTTTGTGACCGTATCTGTCATGCCGAGCGATATGATATAGCTCTTTATGTATATGTATATGTATGTATATGATATAACTCTATGATAGAGCTATATATATATATATAAAAGCTAAATATTACGGTCGTAAGACCTTTGATGATTCAGCAGACAGCTATCAACAGAGAACAACAGAACTGGTAACTGTTAGCTTAAAGCTGCCTGGGTTACCGACAATGCGCAACCATTCCTTATCTTACTTCTATTGTCACTGAACGGTGCGATATATACAAATGGTTAGAGATACAAACCGAAAAGGAACTTGCTACTCCACCAGGCGAGGCTTACTCGATTCTATTGTCCATGTTTACGTTAGAATAGTGTGTTCCAAAGAGCACTGAAGTAATTGAAAAATATATTGATTGTGCGATATAGAATGAACTAATAGAGCAGATTAGGCTGAATTTGCGGAGTTCTAAGGGGAAACGTATTAGAGGTTGCAACGTGAACGTGAAAATATAACACGCCGGCACTGGAGCGGAACTAAACGCACTTAAATACATTATGCTTAATTACATTCACGGTTGTACACAGAGGCTCAAGCGTCAAGCCTAAAATAATTCGCTGCGTTCTCCAGTAATTGTACAGTTCCTAGGACCGGAAGCAAGGAAAGAAAACGATGGTCACCTAATAAAGCCAAAGCGTTTTCTATATGCTCATACTACTGGCTAGATTCTCGTATTACGTTACTCCAATTACACTTGCTCCAGCCATGAACTCAGCATATCAATTGACAATTTTTTAATGATTGTCTTTAAGCAAGCGCAGATTTTAGTTGTTATTTGGGTTCCTCATTTCGATTAAAACTGAACGTGCTAAACACAGTCACTTTAAAAATATACGTCTTTATATATTATAGCCTCCAGCTGGCTAAAAGAAAACGCGAGTGCAGAGCATTAGAACGAGATCTGCTCGTTGGTATTTCCTCGTGGAAACACAGTTTATCGTATAGGAATAAATACATTTATAATCATGAAGTGACAAGGATAATTGTTAGAGCGGTATCAATGATTTCTCGTGAGAATTGTTACCACACTTGGCGTGACAACACGTCATGCCGGCCTACCGCTCGACGAATTAATAAGGTAGCTAATACAATAAGGAAACATCGATGATAGTTTATATCGTTGGAAACACGCTAATAATATGTTGAAGCCTATTCGATCTAGGCACCGCCTCCGTAGTGCTGACAATTATCGGCTACTAGTCTTAGGTGAGGTCTGAATTGGCTGCTACTTCGAAGGCCTATGTCAGACTAGAACAGACCAACATCGTCTTCAGCAAGTCTCCGAAGAATAACTAAGTTTACCTCGTATACTGACTTATGCAGTACCGTATCTGTTAGCGGGCTGTGGCGTGAATTCGGTTTTAGAAAAGCTCTCTGCATACCCCGTCACATACGCAATTCGCCCTTCAATCAATAACCATACACTCTGCCACATTATTCTTTCTATGAAGTTTTACTTTATTCCCCGGTTTCACCGTCCAGGGTGCCCACGGCGTTCGAGTATCGTCTGGTCTGCCCGTATCGCCCAACAACTTGTTTAACGCTTTCTACCAACTGCACGCGTGTTTCCGCCATTTCTGTCTCGCTTACTCACACAGGACCACAATCATAATCGCTAACTCACTCTCACAGCTAATCCCGCTACTTGTCCCTTAATCATGCGCGGCCATCGAGTGCACGAACACCCGCGCAATTAGATGCTGCTGTGATAGTCTAACTCTTAACTCGCTTTCTCTTTCCTTTCCCTTGTTCCCTCGTCCTACATCTCTGCTATTTCTTTTACCGGATCTCTATCAGTGTCAGGAGAAAAAACTCAGTCGGACCTTGTTGTGGCTTCCAGTCAGCGAATCCCAACGAGGCTGGCGGGTTCGTTGGTGTTGTTGAACGGCGAACGCCGGTGATGTGCGCGTTGGCTGGCCCTGCGCCGCCGCCGTTGCTGCTGCTGCCACCTCCCTGATTCCACTACCGCTGCAGCTGCTACTTGTCGGGTCGTTACGTTCGCTCGGCCAATGCTCACTAGACATCCTTGCCGATGCGGCTCATCGCTGCACAGCGAGCACCAACTTCTCGAGCTGCACAGCTCTTTTTCCTTCTTGTTGAGATAACAAAAACTCTCGCCGCCACCGCAGTCCACCGCGCTGTACACTCGCTACCCCAGTCGCTTTACCGCAGGACACCAGCAAGTGCTCTACACACGAACGAACGAAACAACCGGTAGCAGTATTTCGCGTTCTTTTTTAAACAGCTACACCAGTAAACTGACCAATATTCACCAGCCAGCTAACCACTTCTCACCGATAAAACGACCACCAGCACGATATCGACACCACCGCCACGTCCACAGCGGGGGCGGCGGCGGCGGCGGGGGAGGCGACGGGGGCAAAGGCGGCGGCGGCAGCAGTAGTAGGTAGACGACAGCACTAGGCTCAGCACCGCAGTACGTAGCGGTCACAGCATAGAGCGACTCAGCAGCAGCAGCAGCAGCAACAACAACAGCAACAGCAGCAGCAGCAGCAGCAGCAGCAGCAGCAGTAGTAGTAGTAACTAGAAGCTGCAGCAGCCGGGACCAGCACTATGCCACCAGCTCGATTACGACCACCGTTCACTGCTGATGCCGCCGAACACTGAGACCACTCAACTAAGCGCTGCCGCCGCCAATGAGTCGGCTGCGCGGGATAGGTGACTCGGCGTAGGTTCGCGTCGGTCGTTGATTGTTAGTTCGTTTTTCGCTGGCTTTCGTCACTCTCTAGAGAACCATACACACGGGCGAGCTTCGCAACAGCAGCAGCACAGCAATGGAAATTAGGAGCAGTAACACACGGACGAATGGACGAACACACGACACGTTGATTGCGCTTACGTTTGTCGATGAGTACTTGTTCGCGTTGTAGGCGCAGCGAAACACAGCACCACACTCCACCACAATACCAACAAGAACGCAGCGGACAAGGAAGCCTTTGTCGAGGCCGCCGTCAGCTCAGCTTCCTACCATTATTAGCCAGTATAACGTAATTCGTACATTGGTGCTGCTACTATGCGCACACTTCTCGTCCTAACCGAAGTAGTATCGGCACCTGACGCCACCGCTGAACGAGGCAGAACTACGACCAGTTCATCCGCGGCTAACGGCCAAACTGTAAAGAGCTTAATCGTTGGTACCTTACTGATTTTTGCTTGCCGTTGACCACAGCGACCATTAACACTGATATCACGGCTCCTACGACTATGACCGGTGAAGTGATGTGGCCGGCTTCATCGGCTTAGCTCACACCAGACTCGCCGACCTGACCAGGCCAATTCCTTGTTTCGCGCTATACTGTTAAGGTTCGTCGCCAACCAGAACGTGACGCTGATGAGGGCGATTGATAGCGGTGCAATGGCAACGTTAACGGTACCCACACGAGGAGGCTGTACGGCACGAAGAGTCAACTGCTCTCCTACCACGACAACCAGCAGCAGCGATGATAGCTGCTGTTGCTGCTGTTGGGAAGCAGCAGTGGCAGTCACAGCACCACGACAGACGGGCAACAACAATACGACGACAGCGGCGGCTGCTATAGCGATAGCAGGGGAAAAAGTACGGTCACGGCGGACGGCTAAGCAGCATCAGCACTAGTAGCAGCAGGGGAGCTAATAATCTGCACGATAACAGTTATCTCGAGTGAAGCTAGAATTAATCCAGAAACTGCAACAGTATTAAGACTCGGCCTCGTCTTGATTCCAGTCATGTGTCGTATGGCCTGACGTCGACGAGTCCTAGGGTGGCTAGCGAAAGGTACGATGCCAGTAGTCTACAGGACAAATCAGGTATCAGAAATTCCTTGTGGTTTTCTGTTGGATCAGCGACATTTGTTAACAATTCGGCTAGAAAATTGAAAAACACGCCTGCGAAGCCAGCGGCTGGGGAATTGCAATGAACACAAAGACGGCGGCTGTGAAGCTGCAAAAAGGTAACGGTCGAACTGTGCTGCACAGCAACTGCTGCTGCTGCCGCGAAATACGGCGTAGCAATGACAATAATAAACCGCCCGTGTGACTGTGTTGGCACACCTTCCCTACTTGTATCATAAATCACCTATACTACTATTCTTTGCACTGGTACTAGCTGCCGTATTCGTTAACAAAGTCATCACAGTCACTACTAGCAGAAAATTCAAGCGCCTTTTGAGGAAAAGATAGTTATTTTGATGAGTATTCGTATTATCCTTTTTGACTGCACAAAATTGAAATTGTTCGCTGGTGTCGTTTGTCTTAGCAGCAATACGATCTAGAAGTTCAGCTGAGATTCCAACACATGACCAATGATTATGCTACGAAGTATCCAATCAAGGTGACAGTCCAATACACAATAAACTACTGAAGCCCTCGAGCTGACAGCCAGATCGGCTGCTTGCTGTTGCTGCTGAGGTTTGGCCTTAGACAAGCGCACACGCAGCAACGCTACTGTAGAGGCAAGCACAAAACCACCGCACGCCGCCGACTTCTCTTACTCAGTACAATACTTTCTGCACTGAAGCCACGGTACCCACGATAGCACCGAAAGCAGTTGCCGTCACAGCAACAACAGTCGAAAAAAAACTACAGGTTTGTACAGGTTTGCTATCGCACTGCCAGTCGACGGAAAACTTTCAATCGTTGATCGCAACGGTAGATGCCTGCTGCGGATGTTGATGGCGGCGATTGCAAAAATGCTGTTATCCGGCAGCTTTTGCAGCCTCGACTTTAGATTAGCCTTCGGTGGCAACGGAAGTCGACGACGACGACGCCGCCGAAGAGTCAACGCGGCGACAAGATGATGGCCTTTATTGTTGCTGCTGCGTCGGTTAAGCTGTTCGCGGCGGCGGCGGCGGCGGCAGCGGCGCTGCTGCTGCCCCTAGCGAGCTAGCGGCTTATGCTAGCTAATAAACCCACCGGCAACGGAACACACAGCACCTGGCAGCGGTTGGATTCTCGGCTGGGCTAGCCCAGCGATGGCGGTGGCGTATCCGACCAACACTCACGCTACCTGGCAAAGGCCGGCTAGGAACTAGCACCCCGTGATACGATTGTGGCACCCCCACGGCGGCGGGCAAGTCCGTCATTGTCGGCCAAGCAAAACGCACCACAACATCATCCAACGAATCCAGCCTTTAAGCGTAGCCATTGAACTGTGTGAGCTCATAAATCGACATCACCAGCATGAAGAAAGCGAGCGCTTCGTCAGCCAGTCACCCAGCCAACTAGCTAGCTAGCCACAGAGGTCTCACGAGGTCGGTCAAAGCACCGCTAGACCACTGCCAGGCACACGCACATACTTTTTGGTGTGTCTAGTAAACATCGGTCGACCAGCCAATCTGCCGAACAAAAACACACATTCTGTCCGAGCGATAGCACACATTTTGACCACAACGCGACGCAACGCAAAATAACGAGTCGACGGTCTACCACCGGCGATCAGTTACAGACCTCACGCGCGCTCGACGATAGCTATCCACCGGGCAACACAGGCACTGTCCACTTGTGCACACCCCAACGATATTCACACACACACACACACACACATGCACACACGCACCCACACTCACAGAGTGATATACACTCACTCAAAACGAACGGAGCCGAAGCCAAATTAGAGAAAGAAAGAGTCAGCAACTGGCGGCGGGAATCGTCGAACTCCGCTGTCGACCGGCTGGCCTGGTGTCGGGTGGCAGTCAGTCGAGTCAAAACACAATTTCAGCCTTACAAGAAACGTCCCACGATGAGCAACACATGCGACTAAGTTGAACATTACCTACTATGCTAGAATGAGCCGAGTAGAGTTGACTTGTTTCACTGGAGCAGCATGCAGCTTGTCGTTGTCGATTCAGTCGCTCGTTCGGTTGTTATTAGGCAGCGTGGAAGCTAGACAAAAAGTTGTTGTTGCAGCTGAGTATCTGGGTGCTTTGCCGCTGTTGCCGGTTACAGCTGACGACAGCCGAATAAACAAGCTGACGAATATACAGACAGTGGGCGCAAAAACGATGTAAAAAAGGGGCCGAATTTAGAGAGTTGGAATTTTGATGACTGCCGTGTGCTCACAGGTTCTCGTCACCAGCGGCGGCGGCAGGTTGAGCGACGGTACGATGTTGGCCGCACAAAACCGGTAATTGTCGTTCAGCTGCTGCTCTCACGGTGGTGATGCGAGATGAGCAAAAAGCGTACCACAAATGGATACCTTGATGAAAGCAGAGGTAGCGGCGGCAGCAGCAAAGACAGTCGCGGCAGACCACAGCACGCAGCGAACTACCGACTGACTACCACCAAGACACAGCCGACCATCACGCCCATAGGCACGCACCGTCAACACGAACGAGTTAGACAAACGGCCACACACAGGAGCAACGTACGGCTACACAACGGCAGGAACGGCCGCCAGCACAGCATCCATAACCACAGCATAGCACAGAAAACAAAACACAGAAGATTCGCAGCACACAGATGCATGCTACCCGGAACACTGGTCGCCGAAGCAGCGATAGCTTCATGAAAGGAGGCCTGGGTAAGAAGGCTGCGCGGACATTCCCGAATACAAACAAACGTTGTTTGTCACGTTCTATTTATGGTTTGTTGATCTCCGAAACTTTATCTGTACGTATATTGTCTAGTATTAATGAGGCGCATTTATGTGCCTTAAGACCAGTCCACAGGAAGCTATTACTAGTCGACTCTGCCACGGGCGATCTGTTTGGCTGGCTTTCAGTCGCAAGACTGCACGAGACCGGCGACTCCGAGGTGATCACAGAAACGGGTTGCGCTGCAGCAGCAGCGGCAACGGAAGTAGAGTGGCAACTACGTGCTCGAATGCTGGAAGGGAGAGATCTGTTGGTGCTCGATAGAAGCAGCAAGTGCGCTGAGTTAGTTGGCGCCAGCGGCGAGACTATATAGAACACGTTTTTTATTTGTTGCAAGATCAAATGCAGCACTTCATTTATTCACCACACTGATGTAAACATGCGGCCGAATCTAACCTGCCAATAATTCCACGAAATAATCGACTGAGTTCATAGAACCAGCACTTCCGGTTAACTGACACGGCACCGGCCGAATGACCACACCTGTTTCCGCTGTGTCTCCTACATTCGTATCGAAATGAAAATTTCACCGTTGACATAGCTGTAAAGATGACGTCAAATAATAACAGTCCTTATAAACTACGACGAACGACACGAACACACACATACACTAACTTCGTATAGAACAGGTTGAAAGAATACGAGGTATCGGGCAAAAGCAAGTGGGTAGCCTACGTGCGATTACTGCACATCTTCCCGTCTGTTTACAGGAGATTAACACTTATCACACTCACAGTCGATGCTTTTTAACACCGAACATCAAGCAACACTGCAATCACCACAACAGAGAAATAACAATATAGTCAATGTCGTTCCTCTCCCGCCTGTTCAGCGTAACGACTCCTTAATAACAGTACGGATAGCAGAAAGAAAAACCTCAGAAGATGCCAATCATTCTCAAATCATATTCTAAAACAACCACAACCCGCACACAGAAGTATTCGAAGAAACAGTACTACAAATGGATTCTATACGTTCGTCCATGGCTGACTGCATGAAGCATGGCTGACTGAAGACGAATTCTTATGTCCGCCAGTCACGTTGGCTTTCAAGTGCTTCCTTCTGGTCTGAGCTGCCTGTCTCAATGAGCAGAACAGGTATTAATAAACGTTGAAGACCCTAAAGAAAACGTATCTTCCGCCCGTTCCCACACAAACAGTAAGCATAAATTGTGAGCGCGTTGAGTGAATCGGCAGAATGCAGTGTTGTCACCTGTGCAGGTGGCCAGCACCGTTATTGTGGTCGTCGTTAGTCACTGCTTTTTGAACTTACTCCCCAAAAACATGAGTTTAGGCACACGAGAAGCAACAAACGGCATCGGCAGCTAACGCTACGAGCGAACCGGTAACAATGTCGATGAGCCTCATCTAACGTCACAAGCACTCGCTTTCCAACAACAGAGAACACCATCACCGCTAAATGATCGGCGAACATTGATACGGTATGACAGTCTCTGACCAATCATAACAACAACACATCGAATAACAAGTACAACTGCCATACGTATAAACAACAAACGACGTAGAACAAAGCTGCAACAATATATCTAAGTTGTTTTTACTAACCAGGGAGATCTCAGACATTGATGATAGCTTGAAGGGGCACAACAGCTAGAAAAACAACGCCAATAACAAGTACGATCGAGGACGCAGAGTATTGTGACACAATTTGTTCGGCGCTGTCTGTTAAGCCGCTCAACAAGAAAACACTGACTGGAGCTGGAGCAGCAGCGACTACGGTGAAGGCCGAAAGACATGCGTCGATATTTAAAACTGTTATTGTATTTCTTACTCAACGAGTTGTTGTTGTTGTTGTTGCTTCTGCTGCTGCTGCTAGTTAAGTTTGATAACGAGCAGTCAGTTGATGAGAAAGGTGGGGTTTTGTCTGTGAAGGAAGCGAAATTAACTTGGACAGACGGCAAAGGAAAAGGCCCGAGATTAAAGTGGACTTATAAAAACAGCTCATACCCCCGCATACACTGACACGCGAGATATTGGTGACGACAACGGCAACTGCGAGGACTCCGTTATTCACGAAGTGAACCCCGATGGAAAGGACGATACGGCATTCGATGTTGCACCAGGGCAGCGATACCGCCAGCGCCAGTTAGACGCCTGGAGACACACAATCACATAGACGCAGTAACTACTCTCGCCGTCTATCCTTAGGCACGCACTGCATAGGCATCCAGCGCTCGAGTACGAAATGAAAACACGCAGCAGCAGCAGTGGCAATGGCAGACATGAACGGACATTCGACAAACTTCGTAACTTGCTGAAAATTAAGATTCCGCTTTTAACTGTCGATGAACAAAATTCTTCGTAACAAACAGCGGTGCGAGTAAACGAACCTTTTCGCCTGCTGGAATAAGTGGTTTTTCATTTTCTTCCAATGTCTTTGCTTGTTCTATTCTATTGCATGTACCACAACTGCAAGCCTCCTATTACTACTATTACGTTATTGTACTATTACTAGAATGGACCAATTCATCGGTGAATAGAGTAGACGTACCTTGAAGTGCTCTTTACCATTCACCATCATAGACTGCACTCATCAACCCGGAGCAATTCTGTCTCTCACTACCCGGTGACAACTTTAACGGAGCCAACAAAAAGCCACTAAAGCAAAAAGTTTGGTAAAAGCGAAAAGAAACTCGACGTTCGCCCGACGAACGCTCACGAAACAAAGATGGCGACGCCGGGAGTGAGGGCGAGAAGGGAGGAGGGAGTGTTGGTCCGCTGTGGGCCGGCGCCATCGTCCGTCGCCACTGCCACTGCTGCTGCTGCTGTTGCTGCTGCTGCCACTGCTGCTGTGACTACGATGCACAAGCAGCAACTCGCTGCCAACACTGGTCGACTGCTCGCCTGCTAACTTGCCTGTTTGGTTCTCTGCTCGCTGTTTGCTCGCATGTTCTTTCTACAACAGCAGCAGTCTGTTCGGCTCGTTCGCCTGCCGCCGCCGCCGCCGCTGCACTCGGCACTGCGGACGCCGCTACTGCAGCGGCATGCAGCAGTGCAGGCTGGCTCGTTCAAAAGGAGTAGCCAGAGAGGCAATTGGAGTGTGAGGCTCTTAGTTATGAGCAGCTTGCCCAGTTGCTTGATAGCAACGAGAGGAGTGCGCGGTGCCGCTTCGGAGACTGTTGCCGATGCGGCCTGCTCAAATCGTGCACTCGGTGACAGTCTCGGAATATGTCACTGTTATGAGCGCTGCTGCTAACTTTTGCTGTTGCTCCGTCGACAGAAAAGAGCGCGTGAAAAGCATGGCGACTGTTGGCTAGCGAGGATCGTAAGAGTGGTTGATTACGTCACGGCACTGCTTCGCTAGTTTGGGTAGATGCAAGTGCTGTGAAAAAAGCAGAAAAGCTGAGGATGGTTAGTGTGTGCTAATCATTTGCGTTTGAGGAAAAATGGTCGCTATAGGTCGAATAGGTGATACGATGACTGCGGAAATAGTAATAAAAACTAACAGTGTAAATAGACTAACAATAGCGATTTGTGTTAACGACGATAGTAATAACAGAAACGTTTAAATAAAATACAAGATTTAAGTAAGCTATAAGAAGTGGGTGACAATCACCGTTAAACAGGATTTCAGGTATGATATGCCAACGTGTTCAGGTACTTGAGATTAAGTAATCTACCTTGTCGCGATTATCTTGAGTTCACACTTAGAGTTAAAAAAACGCTGGTGAAATATAGATATTGATTACTTTATCCTCCTATTTATAATCGAGTACAACGAGTGGTATAACATGCTTCTGGCACGCACAAATACTGTATTGGAAAGTAGCGGGACATTTTATTAATGCTTAATACACCATGTATCGAAGAAAAGGTCCGATAACTTTGTTGGACCGTTAGAAAATAATTCAGTTTCCCTCACATGCTGCTCTTTTGCGCTCAACATGCCGCAGCATAACACTTTTTTTCCTTTTATACACTCGATATAGTTATTGTGCAGTGTCTCGAGTTCAGTCGCCAAAGCCTGACGTTTTAGAGAAAGCTAAAATACGTTTACAATATTTGCTGTTATTCGTGTTTGAACAAAGCCAACATCGTATCCAACTAGTCGAAATATTTGTGACATATGCGCTAAGGACTTTATGGATGAGAAAACTGCTAAACATTGATTTGTACTGGTTGACTATATAAAACCGGTATTTTGAATG